CAGGAATGCTGATCTGCTTTGTTTCCCTCTTTCCTTTTCTTCCACTTTGGACTGAAGCAGTGTGAAGTGGATCTGTATTTAATGAAAGAGTTGCATCTGTTTTATTTGGAGCAGAAACTTCTGCTGTAGGCTTAGAGAAACTGAGCTGAAGATACGTGAATAAGGAATGTAGAATGAGCAAAGGGGCTGAAGCTGAGAGGAGATGTTGGTGGGACATTCACAGAATGGGGACTGGAATTGCACAAGTGAAAAACACAGATATTGGGACAAAGAAACAAGTTGGCATAATGTAAAGTTGGGGCAAAGAAGAGTGAAGAGAACAAATCCATGTGCCTATTTCTCTCCAGGTCGTTGAATCAAACTAAAGATACTGAAAATTTAGTGTTCTGACATCGATGAAACATCAGAATTGTGTAAAGTACCTCATTAGCCCTTCAGTTTTGCTTTTGCAGATGAAAACATCAGTCCTGTCTATGAGTTACTTAGTCATGTCTGGTGGATCTGTGCAGTTCACAAATAGATACATCAGTGATGCAACATGAGAAAACTCTTTCAGCCTGTTTTTTGAAACTGGGAAATTGCACAAAAATGCAAATAAACACACTGCTAGAAGAACACTAGTAAGATATGGTTAGATGTTAAATTTAGGTTGCCAATGCAGCTGTATTGGGTTTGTGTGGCAAGGTTTTGGTAGTGGGGGTGGGGGGCTACAGGGGTGGCTTCTGTGAGAAGCTGCCAGAAGCTTCCCCCATGTCCGACAGAGTCAATGCCAGCTGACTCCAAGACAGACCCATCGCTGACCAAGGCTGAGCCCGTCAGCAATGGTGGTAGCGCCTCTGGGCTAACGTATTTAAGAAGGGTGGGGGGGAGGAAACCTGCACAACTGCAGCTGGAGAGAGGAGTGAGAATATGTGAGAGGAACAACTCTGCAGGTGCCAAGGTCAGTGAAGGAGGGGAGGAGGTGCTCCAGATGCCAGAGCAGAATTTCCTCTGCAGCCCATGGAGGTCCATGGTGGAGCAGATCTCCACCTCCAGCCAGGGGAGGACCCCACACCAGAGCAGGGGGATGTCCGAAGGAGGCTGTGACCCCATGGGAAGCTCACACTGGAGCAGGCTTCTGGCAGGACCTGTGGCCCTGTGGAGAGAGAAGCCCATGCTGGAGCAGGTTTGCTGGCAGGGCTGGTGACCCTGTGGGGGATCTGTGCTGGAGCAGTCTGCTGCTGAAGGACTGCACCCCGTGGAAGGGACCCACACTGGAGCAGTTCATGAAGAACTGCAGCCCATGGGAAGGACTCAGGGTGGAGAAGTTTATGGAGGACTGTCTGCTGTGGGAGGGACCCCAGGCTGGAGCAGGGGCAGAGTGTGAGGAGGCCTCCCCCTGAGGAGGAAGGAGCAGCAGAGACAACGTTGTGATGAACTGACCCTGACCCCCATTCCCTGTCCCCCTGCGCCACTGGAGGGAGAAGGTAGAGAATTTGGGAGTGAAGTTGAGCCTGGGAAGAAGGGAGAGGTGGAGGGAAGGTGTTTTAAGCTTTAGTTTTTATTTCTCATTCCCCTAGTCTGATTTGATTGGTAATAAATTAAGCTAATTTCTCCAACTTGAGTCTGTTTTACCCATGACAATAATTGCTGAGTGATCTCTCTCTGTCCTTATCGCAACCCATGAGCTTTTCATTACATTTTCTCTCTCCTGTCCAGTTGAGGGAGGGGAGTGATGGAGCGGCTTTGATGGGCACCTGGTGTCCAGCGAGGGTCAACCAACCACAGCAGCCTTGAGGTTATATATGGAGATGTATTCCTCATGACATTGTATAATTTTTTCAGTGGGAAAATTATAAGTGGGACTTATTCAGGTCACAAGACGCATGGTGCATGTGTAATGAGTGTCCATGTGATAGTTGATTAAGTGTTCATCTTACGGTTCCATGCCATA